CCCCAAAACCCCAAAACCCCAAAACCCCAAAACCCCATTGTTAGAAAATAAACTGATAATATGGCGTAATAATTTATATTTAGGTTCATGTTATTTTATAATCTTATTAAAAAAACTTAAAAATAAATATGAAGTTCATTAGAATTAAATCTTTTTTCCTTACAATTTCAGTAATTCAGTCACTTATTTCAGGAGATGGTAAAACTGAAAGTAGATAACAATTATTCCGTAATGCATTTGATTCATAAAGTGATGGGAATTTAAATAGTATTAAACCGTTCATAAAATCTTAAGATAAGAAAAACTCATATTTGTAAAGTACAGATAGCTATAATTATTTCTCCACAGAAAATAGTAAATCCTCTTACTAAATTAAATTAGATAGAGACTTATAGGAATAAAAATCATAGAAAGGCGCTCCTGAATTTAAGATCGAACTAATTTTTCTTGTAGTACTTGGTGGATTTATCTCTTTGTTTTGTTTGATAGGTTTCTTCTTTTGCTGGATATGTTAATGCTGTAAGTACAATTATTAAAGAGGAACTATAACCAATAAATGCTCTTGTGAAATTAATAGACTAATTTGTAAGAAAAAAACTCCTGGATTTAAGAAAGAAAATTCAGAATTAGTCAGGGCAACCTAGAGAGGAATTATCAGCCTTCCTAATTATGAAATAATTAGGATAGTTGCTTAGAATAATAATCCTATTGCGGATTGCAATATTCCAATAGTTATGGGTTAACCAGAATTGCAACAGACTGAATTATTTCCGAATCCAGTATTTGTGAACTCAAACTAACCAATGTTCTTGAATAGCTAGCCAATCTTTCCTCCCAGTAATAATGAAAATACCTATGAAACTAAGATAGAAAATAATTAAGATACTAATATGATTGTTCAAAAAAACACAATAATGCATGACAATGAAAAATAGCAGAAGTATAACATAGCTCAATTTCCTATAATAACTCATGACAATTAGAGTAGCAATAGTAATTAATTGGATAGCATAAACAAGAATTCTAAAAATTAAGACACTAAACATGAACAAGAACAGTAATAACCATAATCTATTACTATAAATAGATAAGTAGATCACAATAATGTTTAATTGAGCATTATTCAAAATATTAAAGAAAATAGAGATAATTAGCTTTGAAGAAAAAGAGTGTAAGTAATAACGTAATTAACAATAGAACATGAATATAAAATACTTCTTACATTTAAATGTATGAAATGAATCTTTGAAAAGTAAATTTTTATTTCATTAATTAATACTATCAATTTCTATTTATTAAACTTAGAGGGGTTTTGGGGTTTTGGGGTTTTGGGG